CCCACGTGTACCTGCATCCTTTGGAGCAATACGAATTGCTTCTTGACTTGTTTTTTATTGAGTTGGATTTAGCTTTCTCTCCTTCCCTTCCCTTCCCTTCCCTTCCCTTCCCTTCCCTTCCCTTTTCTTCCTTCCCTCTTCTTCTTTTCTTTCCTTTTTTATTTTTAATCTGAGAAGGCAGTCATCACTCTTTCATCTTCTTTCCACTCTCCAAATTTTATTAATGTCTCTATAATTCTAATGACCTTTTTAGGTTTACAAACTTTAAAAAAATGGAAAAAAAGTAAATATAACTTTATTGAGATTTCAACAAGGAAGAGAAGCAAGCATATTCTTTCATTCAAACATCTTTACTTAGAAATGTATTTGTAGCTATTTTTAGGGTTTTTTTTCTTCCATAATTTTCAGTTTATTTCTTAAAGTCTACCATAGTGGTAGTGGTGGCTTGTGTGTGTGCGTGTGTGTGTGTGCATGTGTGCAAATTTGAGTTATTCTTTCTTTTTTTCTCAGGAATGGGTGGGAAGGGGACACCATGGAGACACATAAAGCACACAAGAAGAAAAGTAGCATGATGTAAGGAAAAGAGCACAAGCCTCAGCAGAAGAGACCCAGGGCTGGATCTACTTTACCGGGATTATGAATTTTGGACTAAGTAAAGTGGAGAATGTTTGAGGAAATGCAGGGCATACAGTTGCCCGAGTTGGTGTTGACCACTGTGAAATGTGCATGTGTGTACTGCACTAAAAACTGAGAGAGCTTTTCATACAGACAGAGCGTTGTCCACTTACATTCCACTCGTCATCAGTGCAGAGAGGTTCTCTTTCCTCATCGTGTTTAAACGGAAAGCCACCCAGACATAGGAGAATTGAAGAAAAATATAATAATGAAGAAAAATATAATAATAATTACAATCATATAAAAATAGGTCTTGGAAGGCTATAATCCTGCTAGACAGAGCAAATTTAAAATGGTGTATTCATAGTTCCTGGGTATTGAAAACTATTGAATAGAGATATTCGTGTTCCTGTAAAGTTTGATTAGAGCAGAAGGTGTAAGATAAACACTTTCCAACTGACAGGCTTCACCTAATTTCTTTTGAGAAAGACTAACTTTGCTGCTTCAATATCCCTTTCATGACCAGATTATGTATTCCTCACTTCATCCTCCTAAAAAAACATAAGTAACATGATAATGTTAATGAATAACCTGACAATATTAATTCTACCATCACTGAAGTATCTTTTCTGTGTGGTTATTCTCTTGAAAACCATACCAAAGAAACAGTTCTTCATATGAAAATGCAAGTGGGAGTAGCTTTGTCAAAAAGGGCTTCTACAGCAGATTTGCTATTGTATGCATAGTGTGCGTTCTCTTTTGGAAGCAGCGAGGCCAGTTCTGTAACTCTTTAGCTCTGGCTTGCCGCAGTCCTTTGCCAACTGGCCGCTCTTCCGTGGTTATTAAATTGTGGTGGCGTGGCAGGTGAGACATTGCTTTAATGATGAAGTAGAGAAAATGGAGCCATTTGAGACTCAGTGTATTAATTCCTTTAGAAAAAATGGAAATGACATCCATAATTGGTTTTCTAGGACTTCAAGTAGGTTTTAAAAGCTTTCTTAAAAAGTATGAGTGTGTTTTAAAATTTCTCCTTACATTATGGCAAAGCTTTGGTAGACACTGGTCATGGGTCTTGAAACTTTATGGTTTCTCTGTTTTTTCTTTTTTAAGGTAATATCTTTCAGAGCCCTTTATTTTTATTTCATAGCTCTTTAATGTTCCTCTGTTGTCCTCAGGGTGTCATATAAATTCCTTCATTTGCCATTCAAAGCCCTCTATTCTCTGACCCGAATACGCTTTGCCATTTGTCTGCTAGTATTTTCCTACAGAAATCCTTCCTTTCAGCCAAATAGGAATGCTTGGTGTATTCCACAGTCTTTTGGAAAGTCTCTTCCCTCCTCCGGATTTAGTGCTACTAGCCTTTCTTTAAGCCTGGATTAAAATCCCATTTGTAAGCATCCTAACTCAGGGACACAGTTGTTCCATCCTCTGCACCTCTGAATCCTGACCTGACCACCCAGAAGCAGTTTACCATCAACTGACCATGCACATTCCGTCTAAATATCTTTCATTTAACCCTTCCTGAAACATAGAGTTGTGTATTTCTTTCTCTGCACTTTTTTTCTGTCTTTTTTTTTTTTTTTGTTGTTGTTGTTTTTCCAGTACCGAGAATCGAACTCACGACCTTGCACTTGCCAGGCAGGCGATGTGCAGCTGAGCTAAATCCTCAGCCCCTGCACTCTTTTTTTCTGACATTAAAAGATCTATATCTTTTTTCCTTACTGTCTTCTACTTACTGTGCATCTAGTATATTTATTCTCTTCTGTCTACTCTCACTGGAATGTAAGTTACAAAGGGAGTCAGGAAGTTTGCAAAGGTTATCAGGGTTTCACACAGCAGCCTGCTGGACTCTCTGGAGCTGATGTTCTGGACCACTAATGAAGACGGCTTCATGGAGTTTGGCAATGATTCCCTTTTTATTATTTCTAATTTTACTTCCTTGTCAACAGGGCTTGACAGTGTGGACTGCTCACTCCTTGGATCTTTCACTTCTCTTATATTCTATGACACCCTTTTCTCTCTCCTCTCCTGAACCCTAGCTCATTTCTTTCCTAGTCATCTTCCTTGGACACTTCCTATATTGATGGTCCCAAGTTTGTCATCATCAGTGTACTATGTTTTGTCCTTAGCAGCATGATGTCACACTATCACAATCGGTGATAACATCACCAAGCACGAGAGCTACTTATGTATTCATAAGTGCTGTGATAAGCACTTGTGTATGACTTGAAATTAATTAGGCTCACTCCAAGTGACTGCCATGAGGAAATCATACTCATTGATTTACACTGCAATAATGTGTGCCCGTTTATGTGTAGCGAGGTGGCATTTGAGTTCTCTGGAAAAGAATTGCTCATAATTCATAGCCCATTTTACATTTTCTGAAAATTCATGGTCTATAGTTTTTGATATATCATTAATAGTTATAGCAATTTTGAAATATGATAGCCTGTGCACTGTGGATTTATAGTTGTATTTGTTTCCTTGACTTTACATATTTCATAAGAGAGATGAAGAAAAATATGTGTGCATCTATATCCTTCCATCACAGAAATGAAAGTGAGGCTATAGTTATCATATTTAAGTCAAAATCAAAGTCATCATACAAATGATATATGGAACAATGCTATTTATATTAACATGCAAATATAAATACTATGTGATATATGTAATATCTGTGTCTATATATTTATATATTTTTTGTGGTCCTAGGGATTGAACGAGAGCCTCATGCATGCTAGGTAAGGGCTCTACCAATGAGATAATTAAGTACATTTCATCAATCATTTGCTAGTAAAAAGCCTGTGTGAATATTATCTATGAAACATTCTGGGAGCTCATAGCTTTATTTGGCTGACTCCTTTTGTGAGTGGTGTGTGTGTGTGTGTGTGTGTGTGTGTGTGTGTGTGTGTGTTTAGTTTTCATTACAATCTGAATATGATCCTGGAGTGGTGTCTCCTATGAATGGCATTGATCATCTATCACAGAAAAAGACAAGTTAAGCATTCCTGCCCTGGGCTATTTTCTATACTTACGTGTGCTTAACTCTCTCCCTTACTTGATGGCTCTTGAATCTATATTATCACCCATGATCCTTTCTGTGGAACTGCACACACATTTGTGCACCTACCCACCAGGCATCATTATGTGGATGCCATCTGAGCCTCCAGAAGCACAGTGTATCTGAGATTTAATTCATTTTCAATCTGTTTTCACCTGTTTTCCCTTTACTTCAGTTGTGCATTTCCATTAGTTGTAGCACCATCATCTTGTCTGTTAAATGCATTGAGAATAATGTTTAGTGTCCCTAGGTCGGTAGCCTAGTGCTGTTCATCTACTAAATATCCCTAAAAGTGTTTACAATTTTTTCCTTTTTCACTCTCTTCACCCTTATGCAGCTCCTCCTCATTCCTGTTGAGATCTTTCACAGCCCAGTGGCTTTCAAATTTTATTATGCATTTTAAAAATTTTTTATTCTCTTTTAAAAAAAAGAAAAAAAATCCTTAATGGTTAGGTCCCAATTCCAGCAATTCTGATTCAATAAATTTAGAGATAGTCTCATAAAGTTGAAGTATTAATCAGGTGTGTTTCTGAGAAAGTCTTAATTTCACCTCTAAAAGAGAAAATAGGGGCTGGGGATTTAGCTCAGCGGCAAAGCGCCTGCCTGGCAAGCTCAAGGTCGTGAGTTCGGTTCCTGGTACCGGAGAAAAAC